CAATACAAAAATGAGGACGTTTTCTTACAATCGCTTATGTTATTCTCCCTTTCGTCATATTCATCAAAAGCATTAAAAAACTGCCTTTTATTTATTGCTTACTTTGTATGCCTGCATATTGACCACATTATTCCTATATGAAATGAGATTAATTTGATGACGAAGAGGCCTCTTCATAAACCGTAAAACATTATTGATGGATCAAAACAATTTTTTCTACAGCCTAAGCGTTTTACCTTATTTGCAGATAGCTGAAGAGAGGGAGAGGGTAAAAAATGATCCAAAGTCTATCATGCCTGCAGCATTCGTTTCCTTCAAAACTCGGTGGGCTGCTGCTGTCTGTGCTCAAACACAACAATCAAGAAATCCAACTTTGTGGTTAACAGAGTGGGCTCCAGAGCCACGAGATGTTTTTTGGGATAACCTGGCAATCCCCTATGTTTCATTGACTATTAGGAGGCTTATTGCTTCTGTTGCTTTCTTCTTTCTCACATTCTTCTTCATGATCCCTATCACATTTGTGCAATCGCTTGCTAACATTGAGGATATTGAAAAATATGCACCATTTTTGAAGCCGATTATTGAAGTGTGAGTATGTTTCATTCTTAGAGCCTATTCTCGTGTAAGCATATGATTTTTATTTGCCTAAAAATTATAAGCTCTTACATCATGGTCCAGTTTGTTATCACTCATATGATTTACATTTATCTTTTTCATTCGCAGTTTTGGCCATGAGCCAGAGTTATCAGGAGTTTTATGTGCTAAATGTTTTCTGATTTTTGTTATGAATTGAATATTATTTTGGCAGCAAATTCATTATCAATTGTTATTCTATAATATACCCTATTTGTGATGCAGACCTGTCATCAAGTCTTTCATCCAAGGTTTTCTACCTGGGATTGCTTTGAAGATTTTCCTCATAGTTCTACCAACAATATTAATGCTGATGTCCAAATTCGAGGGCTTTCTCTCTATATCCTCTTTGGAGAGGAGAGCTGCGACGAGATATTATATCTTCAACTTTGTGAATGTTTTCCTTGTGAGCGTAATAGCAGGAACTGCACTCCAACAACTCAAAAGTTTTCTTCATCAGTCACCAAGCGCGTATGTTTTTCTCATGGTGTTTGTATTTCTCACGTATCTGTGTATGACGTCTGT